TATGAACTCTCTCTCTCTCTCTCTCTCTCTCTATCTATGTATATATATGTAGTGTACATAAATACATGCATTTTAAATACGAGTCTCGAAACTGCCAGTAGTAGTGTGAAGAATGGGGCCGTTGGAAGTTGGTCTGCAACGACCTCCACCACCATGGTACCACACAAGCAAGTAGCAATGGCTTCTCTCAGTGTCTCTGTATCCAACCAAAGCAACTACCCAAAAATTATGACAGAAACTCCAAGCGGTTCCATTAATAATTGTGCCCTTTCTCTCTCTCCTTTCTTTTGCGACACCAAGAAAACTCAAAAGATGAACCAATTCGCCTTCGGACCCACGAATTTCTCTTCCTTTGCTTCCGGACCCTTTCTCACTAACCACGAACTCTATGGAAATCCTCCGCAGATCTCGCTTTCCCAGTGCACAGAAAAACCATTTCGGGAAGAGAGAGAGAGCGCGCTGGTGCCATCCAGACAAAGGCATATCATTTTTCAATAATGTCAAATGCTTCCTTTTCTGGGTTCTGCTAACTTTCTCTGAAGATGTTTGGAGCTGATGCAACCGCATTGGAGCTGATGTAGGGGTGATGCCCCTATCATCCTTCACTTCCCGAATAGGGTCGATCGCTTTCTTCCCTTATTGATCGATTCTAGTACAAATTGGGAGGAAATGGGTTGCATTAACTCTAAGAAGGCAATTGCCAGAGATTCACCTCAACATGTGCTTTCGGTATCGGCAACCACCGACAAGAGGTCTGCTGTTGCGGAGCCTCCTTCCAGAGTCCAATCTGGGGTTCTGATTTTTGGGACCAAAGCGGAGCAAGCATCGCAGGATCGGATACAGGATGGGAAAAGATTTAAGAGGAACAGTTCTAAAGGAACTGGCTCTTTAAGAATTTCGTATCGACTCGTGGAAGCGGAGCAGAATGCGGCCGGATGGCCTCCTTGGCTCACCTCTGTTGCAGGGGAAGCTATCCAAGGATGGGTGCCTCTCAAGGCAGATTCATTTGAGAAATTAGACAAGGTTGGAAAAGTGCATAGCTATTGTTTGTTTTCACCATCTTTTTCCTTGGGCCTGAATGGCTGAATTGTTTCAGCACTGTCATTACAGAATTGGACTTCTCTTTTCACTTGAGTTATTTTCAAGTTGTAGTTTATTTTCAAATAAACTATAAAATAGATCTAGGCATTTGTATAAGATACGGTTGCACCATCAAACTCGTGGCGGGAAACAGTAGAAAACTTACAGCCCTTTTATTTTGTGTATGACCTTGAAACTCCACATTATCATGCGGATGCTGACTTTGGGATTGTGGCAGAGATTTTAAGATCATGATTATGCGATGCTTCTTGCTGCTAGACATGTTATTACGTTTAGACCTGTTACATTTTTTTTTTTTTTGGTTTACAAGTACTGTGTTGATTTGTCACTTACCTATGCTATAATTGCTTGGTCATACTGTCATTATCTAGTCAACGTATTCTCAATTTCGGTCTTTCTTTTTAATTTTTTCTTTTCTTTTTCAATAGATTGGACAAGGTACGTATAGCAGTGTGTTCCGAGCACGGGAGGTTGAAACTGGGAGGATGGTTGCCTTGAAGAAGGTGCACATTGAGAATTTTCATCCTGAGAGCATTAGGTTCATGGCAAGAGAAATAGCAATCCTACGTAGGCTTGACCACCCAAACATTATGAAATTGGAGGGTATAATTACATCACGACTATCAAGTAGCATATACCTTGTATTTGAATACATGGAACACGATCTTGCAGGCCTAGTTTCCTCTCCGGACATCAAGTTCAGTGAGACTCAGGTTTGTCAGTATCCTCTTTCTGATAAAGTTGTATATTTTTAGAATGAAACGTTAGGCATGTTAGAGTGGTGGGGAGAGGGACATGGCTCAGTTACAGTCGGAAAGTTCTTTTACACTGTTTTTGGGTTGAAATTATGCACCAATTAACATTGAAGAGAAGTCCCTGGTAGCTGTCATCTTCCTTTTGTTTCTTTAAAATGTAACTAGAACCGTTTGGCCAAATTGCATCTAATTTCCATGTTTTCAAACCAAAACATCTAGTTTAAGGCACCTCCTTATCTTACTTCATAGAAAGCCAACATGTCTTATGTTTTAGCTCATTTTGTTTATATGAACAATCTAGCTCAAAATGCCTGAAATTTCTGGCAAGCAAAGCTGAATGATTCTGATACTTGCGCTGAAACCCTGCTCACAGTGGATGAATTGCACTTCAGAGTCAAGCGTTTTAGGCTAGTGTAACAAGTGTCTTTCTTTTTGCGTTAGCTCCTTCTAGAGGTTAAATACTATATATATTTTGGTCAAACAGGTTAAATGTTACATGAGGCAATTGTTAAGTGGACTTGAACACTGCCACATCCATGGCGTCATGCACCGTGACATCAAAACATCCAATATATTGGTGAATAATGAGGGTGTTCTCAAGATAGGAGATTTTGGATTAGCAAATACCCTTAATAACAAGAACCCATTAACCAGCTGTGTAGTGACTCTATGGTATCGTCCTCCTGAACTTTTGATGGGATCAACAAACTATGGAGTATCAGTGGATCTGTGGAGTGTAGGCTGTGTATTTGCAGAACTTTTTCTGGGAAAGCCTCTTCTTAAGGGGAGAACTGAGGTACTTATCTGGGTCTGTCAACAAATCAATGCCCGTTCACTTGTTGGCGCTAGCTTTACAGTTAAGGGGCTGCTTTAAACTGATGCATCCTTTTGATTTTACAGGTTGAACAGTTACACAAAATATTTAAGCTTTGTGGCTCTCCACCTGATGAGTTCTGGAAAAAGTCTAAGCTTCCTCTTGCAACAATGTTTAAACCTCAGACTCATTATGAATGCACTCTAAGGGAGCAGTGCAAAGAATTTCCAGTTACTGCTGTAAATCTAATTGAGACTCTACTTTCCGTTGACCAAAGTAGGCGTGGGACTGCCTCCTCTGCCCTAATGTCTGAGGTTAATTCCACTAAAGTTTTGCATACGTCCTCCTAGATTCATCCTTTTGCGGAATGATTTATAAATGCATTTCTTTCGCATAACATGTACTCCAAAAAACTTATTCCTTTTTTTGGTGTATTAAAAATCTTATTCTATTATAATGCTCTCACGATGCTATCTGATTGTGTACAATTAAGCTAGATTATTGATATGATCTTTCATCTTTCAGTATTTCAGCACCGAGCCTTATGCTTGCGATCCATCAATTCTGCCAAAGTATCCACCTCACAAAGAAATGGATGTCAGGGATTTGGAAGAAGCACAAAGGTAAGAAAATTGTCGCAAGACACATTCTGGAAGTGCTGGTGTTCTAGCTATTATCGCTCGTTGTGCTTGTTGAATGGAAATAATAGGTTACGTCATCTTCTGGGACTAGTCAATTTTTCAAGTTCTCGTTTATTTAAAATTAAGTATATCTGATTTTGACTTTAAAAAAGCAAACAAAATATTTTATATCCATTTTCGGTGACAGTCAAAGCATTTTATTTTATTTTTTTGGGTACTCTCAGGAAAAAAGCTGGAGGTAAAGTGCAAGATGCTGCAAAACCAAGAAAACAGAGGCGAGTCCATAAAATTTTGCAAGAACCAACAGATGTCAATAATTCAGCTCAGAAGAAAGAGGTGCTCTCTGAGTGTATTATGTTATATATATTCTTTGTAAAAGATCACCAGTTCTTACTCCTATAATCTTTCCTCCTTGACATAGGAAGTGCAGTACATCTCTCGAAACGCTCGTAAAGACGATAGAAAAGCACGTCTTCCTAAGGAAAAAGGAGGACCTATGCATAGAGGGGCATCAAAGCCATCTTCAAATGCAATGTCAGGGACTACCCGCGTAATGGATGTTTCTCATGGCTTTAGTGTACCGGTGCCAGTCTCAGGATCCAATGGCTTTACATGGGCAAAAAACAGAAAAGCAGATGCTACATCTACTTTATCAGATGGCTCAAAAAGCAAAATTAGCGCTCTCGATCCATCCTTTGCAAAAGGCACCTATGATTTAACCAAACAAGGGACAGATGTATCAGAAAGAAAATACATTGGCAATGCAAGCCATATGGACAGGACTTCCAACCATCGACAACAAAAGCATCAGCTTCCACATGGTACGCCGGCCTCTCTTAATGAAGCTGATGAGTACAATCATATAGATGTGTCCACAGATTTTGATCCATCAGAACAAACAGATGTTGTGATCAATACTCAGGTAACTGAAAAATCTCAGGCAATTATAATCAGATGCTTTTAATCACATGCTAAAGTACAATGTTATTGAACAACAACAACAAGTCTTATCCCATTAGATGGAGTCGGTTACATGGATTGCACGATATCATTATGCTCTATCAGCAAATCAGCCTTTGAAAATATTGTTAACTAAAAGGTTTCTTTCAACAACTTTTACAAGTGTTATTTTTAGCCTTTCTCTACTCCTCTTTATAGGACTCAAGACTATCTGTTTCATTTTTCTCACTGGGGCCTCTCATAGCCTTCTTTATACGTGTTCGGACTATCTCAAACAATTATATACCATCTTCTCCTCAATGGATAGTACACTCACTTTTTCTCACATAAGCTCATTACAAATTCTATCTTTTCATGTATGGCCGCACATTCATTTTAATATTCTTGTTTATACTATTCCAACTTTAAGCTCTTAGTGTCCCTTTAAAACCCAACATTGAAGATTATAATAAAATTATCCACAAGTATTCACTTAATAACTTCAAACCTCTCAGATGTTACTGTCAATAATAGTCGTCATTGTTGACTAATCCTAATGCCACTTGTTAGTCAGAAATAAACTAGGACTCCTGCCAGCTACTTCAGGACTTGGCTACGAACACTTGATATGATGACTATTTCTCTGTGTGTAAAACTGAATATAAATGTGGATTGATGATCTCACTTTGCTTCTGGCTTATCACAGGAAATAACATCATTTTACTTTCTTTCTTGAAAACCTTACAGAGCCACAGAAAGCAAGGTGATCTCCCTGAATTATCAGGACCCCAAATACCTCGACCAAATAGAATCGTTGAGTCGTTGCAGAGGAATGAAAACGGTATTTCTCGATCAACTCGCAAATCAAGACTAGGAAGAGGTAAATAATTTGTTTTTTCTATGGAAGAAACTAATGTTAATGCGTTGGATGGTCATATAATTCTTGGGACCCACCTCTTTTTGTTTGAGAGTAAATTTGAAGTTAACCCACGAATCATTATGAGTACTGATAAATCAATGTATTTTCTTTTCCAGACAACTGATATGAGAATTCTTAAATTGGAGCTAACCTCAACTTTATTATAAGGATGCTTTGCTAAGCATGGCATCCACTGCTGAACTGTGGCACAGCATGTCTGCATCTGAAGCACTGAGACATCTGACATGATCTCTTCTGACATGTTTGGCCGCGTTACCCTGCTTCAATTACAAGAGTTTTATCAATTTATCATAATCAGCAGGAGTAACACTGAGATGTAGGATTGCAGATATAAATGCCCACATTGAAGATGGTCTATTTTAACAAGAGCCGTTTAATCTCCGGATAAAAATTTTGTTAATCGATTAACCCAGTTCTCTTTTTTAAACATCACTGCAGGTTGGAAGCACACTTGATGTTTGGGTGGGAAAGGGCTGGGGGTAGTTAGTTACACTGCTCAGATTAGAGAGTATCCTATTTTTTTCTAGGAGAGTATGCTCTCGTCTTCTAAAATCTAATTTTCTTTTTGATAACATGTATATAATAAAACACGCTCCGAGTCTGAAACACAACTCTCCTACAAAATGGCACAAAAAAACTTAAAAAACAGAGAAAACTTCGAATCAGATACAACATTTTTTTTAACAGAAAAATAAGATACAACATGAAACCTGAATCTTCGAAAGATGCTATCTTTATCTTAATGCAAAGTAGCTATAGAGTTGCATGAATTCCCCTATCACAATATTTATCAATATGATCCAATATGCTGCATTGACAAACAAATTCGAAAACATGCCCATACAACAACAACGACAACAAAGAAATATTTGCTAGAAAGTTAATCTGCAGATTTGTACGTTGGAATCACCCAAAATATTGCCACAAATAGTCAGCTACCTCACAATTGAAAAACTTTGTGGTGCGTGATCAACGATCCAGTTTAACTAGTCGTCCTGGGTATACATGGCAATTAAATTTTCAGTGGGAGGCATACCTTTTGAATAGGTGCCTACAAACTGCTAACTAAACTAGTCTAGTCGATAATCTGGATACCGAAACTCATTTAAAAAAAAAAAAAAAAAAACCTCATGCTTATCTGAAGATTGGGATTCCATGTAAACAGCCCTTAACGAATTCTCAGTAGCCCAGGATCTATATAATAGAACATCCCTTAAATCTTCGGCTGTTTGAAACTTGATGACGTAAAACTTTCGATCACAAGTGAAACCATCTGTCACTTGAAATTCAACTTGAGGATACCATGCAGGTGAAGAGGAGCGCTGGGAAGAAATTTCGCGCTCAGATGAAGCATGCATTCCGAAATTCCCTTCATCAGACTCTTGATCGAAGGTAATATCTGGACCTTTTTTTTTTTTTTTTTTGATAGAAAAGAGGGGACAGAGCCCACAAACAAAGAAATTAAGAAAATTCTGGGGATTTTGGTCCCATGCAATCCTTTCGCACTAAGTCCCTCAGAAATGGGGGAGCTGAATCAAAAAGAGCGGAATTGGAAATGCCAAATTTTGCAAGGGACGCTGTTACCATGTTTTGCTCACGAGGAACAAAATTAATACAAACGCTCCAGCTATATTTGAGTAGAAATTGGATCTCCAAGAAGACAAGGCTTCCACTATAGCTCCGTTTGGTTCGGGGGGAGGGGAGGGCTCCTCTTTAGGGGAGGGAAGAGGAGCCCCTCCCTCCCCTCCCCTCATTTGGTTAGGAGGAGGGGAGGAAATTTTTAAAATTTCCCTCCCCTCCAAAGCCTCCCCTCCAAATTGGGGGGGAGCTCCCCTCCCTCCCTTCCCTCTCCTTCCCCTCCCCTTCTCGACCTCCTCTCCCCTCCCCTCGAACCAAACAGACCCTATATGATTGTTCAGGATAATTATTAATTAAATCCACCAAATTTTTTAATATCTGGACCTTTTGACAACGAGTACTTTGTGCTAAAGCTAGCTTTCTCCCCGCAACGCCACTTTCAGATTTCAGACAAACCAAACTCATACGAACCACACTATTAAAAGATGAGGCCCAACTTGATCACAAAAAATGAAAACAGATTAGGCCCAACAAATAACATTACGGCGGCACCACCTAAAACACAAAATAGAGTTTAGAATGTGGGCTTGCAACCTTTTCGCGGCCATGCAGGAAGAAGGCTAAACTTTTTTTCTTTTGACCAGCCTGGCCCGTTTATTTCTTCTGCAGATATCAGAGGAGGAGCCCTCCCATACTTCTTCCCCTTTCTTCTTTGTTAAACTTACTAGATATTAAATTTTTAAGGATACATGATTTTAAAAATAAATTTAATTACAATAAATTTGATAAATATAAGTGCATGACATCATAAAATCAATTTATCATAACCTACAAGCCAGCAACTATAATAATCTTTAAAAATTAAATCAAATAATACGTCAGAAAATTTTAAGTTTAAGCTTGAATTAGTTATAAATTGATAATCTCATAATTGGTTTTGCTCTGCATGTATAACAAGCCCATTATGCATCCCAAAAAAGCAAGGTCAATTGAATCATGGTAAGAAATGGGACATGCCTCTTACATGACACACAAAATATTTAAGTTTCTATTAAAAAAAAACATAGCCTAACTGTAATACATGGAACTTTGTCTTTTACTTTTAACTTGGAAGAAAAGTTACCTTGCGTTCCTAGCTATAGCATCTACATAGGATATGACAGGTATGAAAGCTTGTAAAATGAAATGTTAAGTGCTATACAATACAATTGATTGAGGATCAAGAGTCCATTAATGTGGGTATTAGGGCATTGCCACCAAAATCAATCTTGTTCAATCTAATGCAGCACATCTTGCTCTGGCAATTCTTGTGGCTTTTGCGCCTGTCATTTCAAATTTTAAACTGGTCAGTCCTAAGTTCAATTACATCCCTCAAAGTCACCAATTTAATCTCTCATATATATGTATATGGTTTGTTATCAATATGAAAAAGGGTCATATAACACAAGCCCCTCTCAGGGGATTGCATGAACACTGAATCCTACATGTTCAACATGACAACATAGTACCTGAATGGTTAAACCCAGATCAACAATGCCATCTTTCAGATGTTCTCGAAATGCTTCAAGCCCTTTACTTGATATGTAGCTGAACCGATGAATGTCCAGATCAATCTCAAAGTAGTTAGTGCCCTGTCAGCGACAAGACCAACAATGTTAGAATTTAGGGCTCGCGAATCAATCCCTCTCCACAGACATGGTAATGGGCTACGCGCGCGCGCTCACACACACACTCTCCTTCCAGTCCTTAATGTAAGGCAAACTTAACCAACTTCATGCTTAATAAAAAAGGATAGTTGTATAAAATTGTTTTAAAAATGTAACTTTCCAATTTTTCTCTTCTTTACAATTAATAACCATATTAAATTGCTGTCTTGGAATTCAAACCGTAATAAATAAACAAAGGGTAAAATTAAAAATTTACAATTAATTACTCCAACTTTCCTTAATTAAGGACAAAAAAAAGCTTTCAAAGTTTACCTTATTAACTATCGGAAGGAATATATATATGTAGGCATGTTTTACCTTATAAAAGCTGTGTTGAGGGCATGAGAGTACACGTTTTTCATTGTATGCATGCACCAGCTTCCTTTCAGCAGAGCTCAAGTTCATATCCTGAGGATTGACTAGTCCGGCCATGATCTTTAGCCTTTCTCTGAAAGGAATACTTGAATCTTTTGTGAACCCTTTGATCTTTTCTACCTCATCAACTAATTTCTGCACAAGCTTATAACTGTTTGTAACATTACCTGATGAAGTGTCTTCAAAAGATAAATGGTCAATCCAGTATAAATGGAAGACTTTTCTTTTTCCCATTTCCAATTGATACGTTTGATTTTGTTTGGACCTTATATAGTATCATTTAACTCAATGAATAGCAAAAGAAAACATTCAAAGTACCTTTATGCTTTCCTGAAATTGGGAAGAAATATGTTGGTCCGGAGTCTCAGGAACCTTGAAATATAGTACAAGATTCATCCCTTCTCCATCACTATCACCAAGGAACATTGCAGCTGGATATGTAGGCATCTGCCACATGACACAAAACAAGGTAACATGATCCATCACAGCCCATTCAGCAAAATCCAATCTCATACTAAAAGATAACCAGCACCATAATTATTATATATAGACATGCCAGGATATTTACAACCAGAAGTGGGGGGATTTTTCCGGCAGATTTCAGATTTGGAAGCTCAAGTTTTTGGGCCATGTGGTTTATCTTTCGCGGGCAGACAAATAAATCAACACCAATGGGAGCATATGGACTGTGATTTGGAGAGCAGACTTGCACTTGTCTCTGGAAATTGAATCATCAGATCAGACAATCATGTAATTATGTTATTCTGTAACAAACAAATATGAAAATTAATTCCAAAGTCTTTATTCCATACTTGAAATAGTTTTCACTGCGAAGTTTGAATGTCGATGGTGGAATTTCTGACCAACATCCAGAGGATGGCTTCTCTCCTTTCTGGCAAGGAATTATGCATCCTTCTCTGGGACGATACAGATATCTTTTTGATTGACCTTACATGAAATTAATTATAAGATCAATGAGTTTAATCCATAATAAAATATCGATGCCTCATCTAAAGATTATAATTGTGGATAAAACCCACAAACTAAGCAACTAGTAGACATACTTGTGTTTCATTTTAGATTTTATGCATGACTCTCAATACTATAACAAGTTTTCTACACTGATAGTTAATTTTTTTTTCATTAAAAAATCATATTTTGGTTATTGACAGATAAGTATACTTTCAATTTGGTTCTGCATGCATTGTTTTATTCAATTTAATCTTATAATCCAATATATATAAGCTGTAGAAACCTATACCTTTCATAAATAAAAACAAACCTATGCAAATTCCAAAATTGCCTACCAGTGACCAACTGTGAAAGTTTTTCTCCATGGAATGAAAAATGAATGTCTTAATAATTTACCTTATTCAGTTATTTCTCTCTATCACAGGATCTTTGCTTGAAAGAAAGCTTGAAAATCGTTGTCTGCATTTTCTGACATTGGAGAGCCTTGCTTGGCGGATATCGAATTTTTTCATTGGAACTTGCTGAAGGAGAAAAGCTCAATTTGATCGTATCATCTTGAGTTTCTCTTCCACTTCATGTTTCTGTTCTTGAACACCTTTGAAACTTCCATGACTTCTTCCTACGTGAGAAATTTCACACTTACTTGCATCAGCTTTAACGTAACTTTCACAGTACTCTTTGCACATAAACTTGTCACCTCCATGTATGCTAGCATCGTCATCATCTGAATCAGATTCCAGAACACTGACAGTGTCAAAATACGATTCCTTCTCAGAAGTCTCTGCAAGTCATGAAATAACTAACAAGTCAATATCATTCCTAGGTACAAAAGCAAGTTCTTACGAAACATTCATTCCTTAAATGTATGAACATGAGTGTCAGCTGTCAAGTGCATGAATAAACACATGCTTTCACAAATACTTCTATACTAACAGTGACGCTACACATAACCTGACAAATTGAGGACCGATTTGGCTAGGCTGGACATAGCCCAAAAAAAAAAAAAGTGTCGGGCTGGATCACAGACTTGGGTCAACCCTTCAGGTTAGCAAAGCCCAACCTGGCCTGGTCTTTTTCAATATCCCAACCCAATTCAACAGGTGAACATCCCTAATAGATAGTGAGATCTATAATTTGAAAGTGCAGAGCTAAGTGGACAAACATGCATGAATGATCAATGTATACCTTCTATGTGTTTCCTAGCTCGGTTGTAAGGAGTTGACTGACGGAAGAAAAGGATCATAAAGATTGTTGCATCATATTGAGTGTGTTGCCATTCAAGCTGAGTAAGTTGAAATGCTGAATTGGACACTAAAGATCGCCTGCAAGTAGTAGTCGAGCCATTCTCAAAGTCCATATGAAGAAATTCACTAACAGAACAATAATCTGTCACACATGTCCCTGCATCGCTATGCCTCTTCTTAACACCAACATTAAACACTACAGAATTTGAGACCTTTCCACTACGTTTCTTGATCCAGCGCAGCTTCTTCCTTCTTCTATTATTTCTTGAAGGTACTGGCACACAATGACCCATTGTATGTTGTTAAATCACTCAACTTTTCCAGACTTTCCAAATCTGTTTTTGTGTGGATAGTGAGCCTCAAAAGAATCTGTATACCAGGTTACAAAAGTACCAAGGGATAATTTAGATCAAAGCATGACAGCATCCAATGTTTCTGACATTTTACATTTTACTGAATACAAGAAATCTGCAGACATAAGTTCACGCAATACTTGTATTGTACAATAGCTTCCAAGTATAAGTTATCAAGCTGAAAGATAATTATTAAAACATAGTGAAAAAAAACTTTTGAAACATGTATGTAGTGTTTTAAAATATAAGAGCAATAGTTTCTGCTTATCCCATAAGAAGTTATCAAAATGTTACACCTTCTGTGATTCAAAGTGACATAATTTCATCATCAAGTTCAAATAAAAGGAAGTAATAATTTTCATGGAATGTATATATATATATATATATATTTGTTAGCATCAGTTGGAAAATCATAGTTTGAGTCGTGCCTGTGGACACTGTCCTTAAGAGCTATTCCGCCGCATTGGA